CAGCAATGGCTTTGGCGACTCGAAAGGCGAAGACATCGAGTTGTCGTAGCGGATAATCCACATAGTCGATGCCAGTCCGCGGGTATGATATCACTGGCTGCTGCGATGGTGGTAAAGATGCGCGGTGCCGGACGAGCTCGTCGACTGTCAAAGGCTCTCTGTCGGATACTTCAGGACGAACTCCATTGTCTGAAGTATGCGCTTCCGGAAGCGTTGTTGGAACAAGTGGTGAGGATAGCATGGTTGGTAGTTATTGAACCGAGGAGTTCAACAGAGTCCGCAGTTTGGGCTTTCGAACAACTTGGAATAAAAGAGGGGAATAAAGTATATTTAAACCCATCTTGACTTGATTCTCAATTATGGCATCTGCGGATGATCCTCAAATCCGACACTCGCAGGCTTGCATCCAGAGCTTCCTGATCTGAAGTGCGGAAATGTTGGCCCATCGCTCGGATATAAATCCGAGCGGAGATGAGGTATTGCGGTCTCTGACCCGTTCATAGGAAATCCGACTATCATTGACCGGAAATGTCTTGCCAGTGCATCGCTTGCTTGTATCTAACCGAGTAGTTTGTCTGATAGACGACTAAAAGGGTATATATGTATTTACTGCCAGCTCACTTTGCTAGTAGAACACCAACTTCACTACTAGTGCTTCTGGCATAGGTCTTATCGAGTTATCTCACCACCAAAAGCCTACAAAGCGCTCGCTAATCTACAGACAACGAGTCAAATGCATTGAAAAGTATTCCCCTGAAATAGGAAGCACGCAAATATCCATCATCAATACCATAATCTCGTTAATAACAACGTCATGTATCGTCGCTCTACATCAACAGTAGACAAAGGAATGATTCAGAACAAGTAGCTCAGAAAGGCATCGTCGCAGGATCGCTCATAAGATTCGAGAACGCCTGAATGAAGACCAGTAAGCATTCGATCAGACACTGGAAACTGCAGCTGGAGCAGACATCTACTTACCCAGGAATCGAGCTGAGCCCACCAGATCGAGCCCTCAAGATTATCAAGAATACCAAAGTCCTCAGAAGGTCCAACGGGCCCTTCTAGGAAATTCGGCGATTGGATACTGCCAGCTGTGGGCTGATGGACCGTCGCGTTGGTAATCATGGAGGTTGGTTGCTCGACATGGGCCGGCGCTGCATGCCCTTGACCCACCATGAGAGTCTCTTTACCTCGCATGGAGTTGGCGCGGAGATTTCCATAAGAGTTTTCCGGACTCTCAGGTTGAATGGGTGTTCCCATCTGCCGATGTACTTCCCTTCTCAACTCCTCCAGGATAATACTATAGCGGCGGCTAGGGCAATTCTTACGGGTAGCCTCAGCCAGATGTTGTTGGCAAGTCTCTGCGAGACTGAAGAGAGAATGGAGATAGCCGCTGTCTTCTACACTCCTAGGGGAAGCGGTGTCCGGATTCGAGGCGAGTCGATGTTGTTGAATGGTGTGGATATAGACCACGATGATGGCGCAGAAGCACACATAGTGCGTAAACCAGAATGACTGGATCAAGACGCTCTGTTTGGCCAGGCTATCCACTAATTTCATCACGTCTTCCGCGGCATCTATACATTTGCGCACGTGGCCCGAGATCATCGGATGTGGAACTGATGGTCGACGACTGAGATCCGTGAAATCATTCAACAGAAATGATCGGGTCGCATGGATCATCGCGTGTGAATATGCAAGCTGCAAGACCTGACTCTGCCTGCAAAGTGGCGGGATCAGACTCGTCGCTCGGACGCTGTTGAACAAAGGTGGTGCAGTCTCTTTCCATCTCTCAAGATCAGAGGCAAGGCGAGCTGCGGTCTCAAGAGGCGAATCTCGAGTATGAGGGTTGATAGTGTAAAGCTGTCGAGAGATTTCACCAAGTATACGACCAAGCCTGTCAAGTCGAAGGCTTAGCTTCAGTTACATGAAGGAATGACAAAAACGAAATCAGATCGACGAACCTGTAATGAAGCACTGACGCAATCATCATGCAATCTGGGGAACCGGTCCGGCGCCGCGGATCTTCCTGCAATATATCTTCGTCATTGATCTCATCCGGAAGTTCTTGGTCGGTATCCTCATCATGCAGCAACCGCGGTCTCCCAAACATGACGCTGAGGTATTTATCCAGCGTATAGGCGCTCCAGAAAACCCTTTTGCGGAGTTGTTGCTCCAGATAAGAGTTGCCGTGCTTTGACATCTTCGCCGGCCATTTTCGATGTAATCCCAGAGCCGTCACCAGCTGGAGAGCCGTGCCGAAGGTATACCAGCATTCATTGGCCCGGGATGATGAAAGCAAGTAGAGACATTGACCTAGTCGTGCTTGGACACTCTCTAATCGAGGGGGTCCAGATTCCATAGAAGATGCCCATCTAGACGCCGCATACCATCGTTCGCTGTAATTTTGAGTATTCGTACATGAGAAAGGAAAAGCGAGTCTGTAGATGCTCACCTTTCATTGCGAAATTCTCCTGGATCACCAGGCCTCTGCTCCTCATATAGAGTACCGACAGCGAAGATCATAAGGATGATGGCGGTCCGGGCTACCATAACGCCGGTAGGCGGATTCGCGAAACAGATATTGTCAGCATAAACCTGCCTGAGCCACTCCTCCACGCTTCCTCTGTGCAAGAAACGGTAAGTCACCATCGAAAAGTCAAAGTAAATGCCCACCAGCTCCAGAGCCTTCTCAAAAGGTGGTAGCGTAAAGCCAGCCTCCCGGTAGTTCGAATAAGGCTTATCCCCGAACTTGAAAACGGACGTATTCCTGGAGACGGATTCATCTTGCAGTTCGCCAGGGATAACCGACGACTCATCCTGATGAAGACGACTCCAGACGCGATTCAAGAATGACACCCCAGACGCCGGCCCAAGATAATTACCCTCAAAGTCCGTGACAACTGGCTCCGGCGAATCACGCAGCGACACCTCCGAACCAGCTCGACCATGCCGCCGTCGCAAACCTACACCAGTCCTGGGCGGCTCTCTCGACGATCGCTGAGAGATAGAACTCCGCGCAGTACGGGTACCACCTCGCGCATGATCCTCATCCGCATAGTTCACGAGCGAGGACGACGAAGGCGCAGGCAAAGGATCCGGCGGCAGGCCTCGCGAGTATGCCGCATTGTACTCGCAGCGGAGCGAAAGGCGGGAACATCTCATACACGGCAGCGTCCCCGTACACCGTGACTTCTTCTCCTTGCAGTAGTCGCATGCTCGTGTAATCTTCTGCCGTCGCACGGGGCCCTTGGCCGCTGGGGACGACGAGTCAGATGCCTTTCGCTTCCGCCCAGCGAGGAGTGGGCCGTCTGTGCTGATTCCGACGACACTGCCATTTCCGGGCGAGAGCTGTGTATGTACCCCGTTCGTAAGAGAAGCCCTCATTGGTTCGGAAGGCGAGACAAGGGACTCTGCGCAGGTCGTTTTTCTAGGCACGAGACGGAGTGGTGGGGATTTCCTGTCCTACTGTCTTCTTTTCCTCTTTTCCGCTGCCATCGCACAAGCATCAGAAGACAGACAGAAGTACGAAAATGGGACGCATGACGATGACATGGAGAAATTTCCGAGCGAGTTCGGAGGAGTGCCGGGCCAAACGGCAGAAGCTCCAGTCATCGTGCGCCGTGCGGGGTTGGAGACTTGGAGCATGGAGGTACCCCACAGCTGCTAGTGGGCGAGCACCACCCATGTCAGTCGCAGTCACTTCAAAGAAAATCAACTGGTGATAATTGAGTTGTTATTCATACGGGGTTTATCGAGTCGCGCTGAATATCTCAATGCACGCTGTTCAAGACCAGGTCTCCTAGTGAACGCTCCCGTCACGTGCTCCTGAGTCGGCTGCGAGTCTTTTGCGACTGTAGCTTTAAAAAACCCCAAAAACAAGCGTTACAGATGGATGGCAGGAAATCAAAGTCCACAGCAAAGTTCCAGTCTATGAGTTTGCCTAATTAGCTACATCATCGCAGCGAGTAAATGAAACCCCCAGAGCGAAGCGGGACTGGGCATGCCTCATTGTTTGACAACATAGATGAGAACCAGAGAAAAGATCTTGAGCTGTTCTGGACCGAGCAATATGACTGCTTCGTATAGATCAATCATCAGAATGGCGTCAAACAACCGAGATCGTTCCCAGGGTCAGAGACTAAATCATGCACAACGTATCCCCCGTACGCCAGGAATGAAAATCAAAAGCCATGAATGAACGTTCTCAGGTGTTAGTGAGTGGGCACCTGATAGGACTTCGTGCAGTCTCACGACTGCCATGTAATGAATGGAGCTGTCGCGTCGTCGGCGCCGCCCAACCATTGACGACGGCATCTATCTGGTGCTGGAATGGTGTTTTGAGCACGTGGGCAACATGGCAAAACAGGTCGAACACGTTCCGTGCATTGAGACAAACCGGCCTGCACCTGTGCGCTGTCGACATTCAATAAACAGAAACACTCCCTTCGCGGCGGTAGATGCCAACTTGCGCGGTTGGATCCAATGAAGGTTTGATCAGCATGCATCCCTCGCGGCTGCAACTCCACAATTCAATGGCGTCAGTGAAAGGACAGATACGTTCCCGCTGTTCCCAGTTGGTTGGGAACCGACGCGGTCGGGAAGAGGAAGGTCATGTTGGTGGGAGACAGGTACTGAACGAGCCAGGCAGTATGATAAATCATGAATCGATTGGGGGCTGGAAAAGGTCGTGCAAGGAAGGTAAAGACAAGAATGAAGATAGGCTCAGGAAGCCACTTTATTGGCAGTCTTAGCCCATATGGTACTCCTGTTCCGGCCTGAGACTAGAAGCATGTCAAGTGATGTTTCAAAGGCTAACGGCCATGTAGTCACCCTCTTCTTGTGCTATACATGAATGCCGCCCAGGCTTAGCTCCAAGAAAGAACTCTTAATTTTGCAAAGCATTGGCATGGTGGTGGGAACAATGCTAAAAATAGATGCCATCTGCAGAAAGGGAGACCATCGTCGTGAACGGCCTACGGGACCTGATTTCCAGATCATGAATCTTTATTCAAGATCGCGCTCAGCCCAGCATCGGGAGACGCTTCCGCAGATACGCCATCCGGTACATTCAGTTCAGGGACGGTAATCTCAAGCCCATCGACATCGGTTGTATGACTCAGTGATTGGGCGACGATCAAGTGTATCTTCTCGAGCGAGGCTCCCGACTGGATGACATTGATAATGGCGTCGACGTCTGTACGCTTGCCGTGCCGAATGGCCGCCAGCAGCTGCTCAACAAACTCGCGGTAGTATACTAACTCCTCCTGGGCGCGATCTCGCACAACCTTACGACGTTTGTCGGCGAACTCGTCGATGATGCAATCTCGGCCGTGGAGGGCGCATTCGGAACATGGGGTACCGGTCGAGTTTGCACTACACTTTAAGAAGAGTAGAGAAAGCAGCACGTCAGAATGGTGTACATAGAAAAGGGGATATAAAGAAGGGCAGGTTTAAAATGCCGCGCATTTGAAAGAGGGGACGCGCTTCGAAAGGGACAGGTACCTTGGTCCGACGTCGTTGGCACTCTGTACAAGCTGTTGATGCTCTCCGTATCTTACTTTCCTCAGCGGCAGGTCCCGCTGTTGGCGTATCGGACAAGGTCCTTGGAGCGATAGGGCGAAAAGGCCTAGGAGGCCCTTGGTGAGACATGGTCTGATGAAATGAGGAACAGAGATATGAAAAAAAAAAAAAAAAAAAAAAAAAGGAACCGGAAGAGGCGAGCTAAGGGAGGAAAGACCAGACTGGACTCTGGACAATGAGTTTTCTTCTGAACATACTACTTCTCCGAAAGGGGTGCACCAAACCTCAAGTGCTCGAACTACATGCTCTCTATCAGCAGAGCATTTGAGGAAGGTAAGTCACCTGGAGCGCTAAGCCAGGCTCGGCGATTCGACGCTGCTTAATGCTTCAAGAAAACGGGGCAGCGGTTCTCAGCCTCAGCAGGAATAGATCGACACCAAAACAATCGACTCGGCCAGACTTAAGGGTCAGTAGAGACATGCAGGTGGGTGATTAAGTGGGTAAGTGGGCAGAAGTGCAGAATAATCTGGTCCGAAATGCGAGATTGGAGTGCCCCGTCAACTCTGATCAGTTTCCGGAACTGATCATCAACATTGTGTCACAAAGGATTTGAAAAGAAAATGGGTCGGAAACGAGAAGCTTGAGGGAGGCGGGAAAAAAGGAAACTAAAAAAAAAAAATAGATGAAGCTTTTAAATTGGATTGTGAGCTTTTGACACTTTTGCCTCATCCACGGGCCGCTTCCACTTTCCCGTGGATCCTCCCGACTTTCCAACCCTTCCAGGAGGTTGGGTAAGCTTTACTCCGTAGCTTTAGAGCCTAGCAATGGTGAAGAATAGGGTAAAGGGAATGTCTAACCAAAAGACTCGAAGGATGAACAAGTATGGTAACTGGTAAGTGGAAGGCCCCTTCAGGCAATCGTGCCCAAGCGCCTTTCGGATCCGAAGATCCCCTAATCTTTCAGGCTGGAGAGAATGGAAAGTGAATCTGGAGACAGTTGTCAGGAGTGGATAGTAGTGCCGCTCTTAACCTCTTCCCTCTAGGAGCGATGCGGGTTTAGAGCATTAGGCCCAGATCTAAGGAAGCTGGCCCATCAATGAGAATGCTTGAAAAGCGCCGATGGAAGCAATCAGGTTGGCTGAACCAATGATCAGAGTCCCAGTAATTGCTCTGAAGCGGAGCATCGAGGACCAGGTAGAGCGTCAGACTCTGATAGGCAGACAGGCACGCTCAAGCTAGGGCGATTGAGCAATCCTGGTAAGATCAATCCGAGCGTCGGGTTCTGGACGCAGAGCTGTAGACCCCGTATATCTGCACCACCATTCTCCAATTCCCCTCCTCTTTCCCTCACCCTAATCATGACTGAATCCGCTGCTATTTCGCTTGAATCATCTGCGTGCAATGTTCGAAACCCAGGAATCTCTCTTCAGCATCCGAGTCTTCTGAGGAATGCCGAACTTAGCCCAATGTTCACAGGGCCACTTTCTGCATTCCATTTCGGGTCGTCTACTCTGGTTGTAGCAGCAAATATTGCACCATTGATGTTATGGCCTCCTGGGGGCATCGAATTTTCTGCGATAGTCCCATAATGTTTCTCTTCTCGGAAAAAAAATCCGTCTGATATGATAGGGCGCTAACAGAGATATTCCGTGGTTCACAAGGCGGATGGTTTCAGTAGAATGGGGCGCCGACATCTTTGGGTCGAAAAGAAACAATCACAACAATTATTGCGAGCCCCGCCAGACGCGAGGGCTACCATCTTGATCAGAAAGGGGTTCTGCTTCGGTTGCATGATGGATCGATCCACGATAAGCTAGATATGCAGTGCTCCCGTGCCCATTCCGTAAAAGAGCTTATCCAATCCTGTCGAAAGTCGAAAACGCACCGCAAATCCCCACGCATATCAGAACCACTAACCATGGTAGGCAACCAAGGACCGAGGCACCGTCTGTGCCAACATATGTTGTGGACTATGGTGGACTAGATACTGAATTTGAACAGTCGAATGCGGCCGTGGTCCGTACTGAGGTTTGGGCTGGCTGGTGCCGACGTAGATCACCTCTGCGTTTTCCCAAAAGGAAACTTGATGACGCTCCCGTGAAATGCGGGCGCTGGCCATACGGAGGTCGTACCGCTTTTTCTGCCTTGCCACCCCCTTCTGGCCTAAAGCGCCAAGACTTGGTCTAAACGAAGAGCCATCTACGCCATCAACAATTCTACAAGATTCTACTCCGTCCGTTCGTACAGGTTACACAGAAATTTCCCGGCTACGACCGTTACGCGTCCTGGAGATGTGGACCGACGAACTGCTGTGGTAGTCAATCGGTGAGGAAATTGGGCTGTGGCCGTGGAAAAGCGACAATCTCCACCGTTATTCTGGTACCTCCCTCCTCTTCGGCCGGTGCGGGAAAGGGTGATCAACACCGCCAAGAACCGCGAGAAATTCTACAGTGTTGATTTGTATCATTTGTAGACTACTTGAGCAACTGAGTTCGCCAATGTGGAACGTGGCAAACCAGCCTCATAGGGGCCTTTCAGGTTCTGATTGGCGGACTGGCCACCCATGGCTAACGGTGCACATTGATTAATCCACAGAGTACGTACTCCGTAGGGAACATTTATCTCTCAATTGAGTATTGTGTGGAATAGACTAGGTATCCGCAATCGAAGCGACAGTCCTTGCGGACCTGCGGCGGTGGCAAAATCCCCCACCCTTTTCCAACGGACGCTGGATAGGCACAATTGTAGGCACAATCGTCCAAAATGGAATTGACAACGTGGTGTTCTTCGCTCGATGGGACGCAAGAGTTGTGGTTGCCAGGAGAGGCGAGGGAATAAATCCACGGAGTACCTCCGTACTCTGCACTGGTATGTCTGATTGATCATCGGTGGCAAATTCGTGTCGCATGCAAGCGAAACCAAGCGATAACAGAGGCGACGATCACCGCCAGGCCGGGGTATTCAAATCCTGGGATCGACCTCAATTTTGCAATAATATTATGAATCGTCTGGCTGCAACGCCCGGCCTAACAACTGGCCCGGGGAAATCAGACGAATGATCAAAGAGCAGCTCTGCAGCCACAAATTTTCGTGGGTGCAGCTCGATTGAAGATCTGACAAATGAGAACCTAGCAAGCAGTCTTGATCGAATGGATTGACCGCCCCCCAGCCACATGGGTGGTATGTGGCCTGTCCTTCTGGATGGGGCCTTGGCGGCTGGACACCACAATCGGCCGTTGGTTCAACAACCGAGGTTTGGATTAGGGTATCAGGACGACCGACATCCGAGGGTGGGTCATATCACATCTGCGAAGCCAGACAAAGGGGTTGAACTCCTGAGCTCGTGTACGCAGGTAGCACTCTGTGTGTGTGTGTGTGTGTGTGTGTGTGTGTGTGTGTACTACATCAAGCCAAGTAGTTCGAGAAAGACACGAGGAAATGCCAAGAAACCAAAGATGAGCAAATTATGCACAGGACGTATTGATAGATATACTCCGTACTGGTAGGGGAATCATGAAACTCCATACTGTACATGTAAAGCCCGATAAAAATACCCAAAAAAAAATGAACCAAAATACCTGTAGTTCAGCTCAAAGGTCCACATACCCCGTAAGCCCTTAATAGACGGGTCTGCCTTCGTCCCAACGGCGAAGTTCCCCAGGACTTCTGGGCGTCAATTGATGTTGATCGGCCGGAGGGCGGTTGCCCTCGCTCGATGGAGACGAGTAGGGCAGTTGGTGGTTACTCTCTCGTTGGCGGGTAGCGCTGCTCTCGAGAGCATTGCCGTGAACGCCGCCAATACCCCCGATCCATTCCCAGACCCGCGCAACATCTCCACCCCGGCCCTCGCGAACCGCAGCCCGAATGTTGGCATTGCCCTCAACTACATTGCGGACACGCCTCCAGAGATCTTCACGTCGCTTGCCGTGGAGCTCGGAACGGAGAACGTCGTCACGCAACTGACCAATGGGAATGTACGGTTCCCTCGCCTCACCGCGAGCATGTAGCGCAGCTTGTGTCGCTAGGCGATCTAGCGTGGTCGCTACCAGCTCCGGGACGCGAGCTAGATCGGATCGTCGAGCCAGAATTTTTGCACGAGCGTAAACCAAACCCAGGACCATAATAATCAAAATTGAAAGAGGGAGTCGATATGCGAGGAGAGAGAGTCGGATGTGACGGCGGAAGGCGCATGTGAGGGGGAGCCGTGCGATGGAGGTAGATGTGAGAACAAGGACAGCGGAGGGTCTGTGATTGCGTTGCGGCCTCTGTTAGTTCCGGTATACATGTCAGAACCGTAGTCATATGAAAAAGGAGCTCGCATACATGCTAGGCTGGGCACGAACGAGGCACCCAGAGAAAGGACGAAAGCATAATGTCAAGAAGAGAAATATCCCATAGCAAACTTACTGTCTTGTTTTGGTAACAACTTCCTCCTTCGCAACAATCTCGCCGAGTGCTCCTTTCCAAAGCTCGTCGAATTCACCATCACTCATGCCTCTACGGCGTTTCTGTGCAATCGCCTGTTTCAAGTCTGGCTCAGTCATTTCCGGAGACGTCACTTCTTTACCATCCTCTAGACGCTCTCCACACTCGAATTTAGCTCGTCGATCACGGAGCTCTTCAATCGCTTTGTCGGCAACGGCTTTCACACGACGAGCTTTTTCACTGTCAGGTTCGCACGTGGGAGGCAGTGGAATCAGACCTCCGAGCGATAGAGGATGCGGTTTCAGAATGAAGTCATGCTCACAGCTCGCCTCGAAGTTCGGGTAGCAGAATGCATGTGGAGGGCACGGTTCACACTGCGGCTCCAATACACTGGCCCATTCCGGCACCCTGGTTTCTGCCAGGGACCAAGTAGGCTTGCCAATACCACAGTATCCGATCTCAATCTTCTCCTTGCGCCACCAACCACCGAAACCCCAAAGCAGAGAGAGAATGAGGATCCACGGAGCAGCTTTGCTTGCTTTACTCTGCTTGGCAGCTCGGCGTCGGAACCGTGGAGTCGTTGGATACATTAACTCCGCTTGTTGTCCCTCCAAGGCTAATTGCTCCTCGGGCGTAAATTCCTCGCCGGCACTGAGCTCACTTTCATCCTCATCATCGTCTATTTCAACTTCCTCCCTCAGTAAC